GTTTCTTTTCCTGCGGCCGGGTACCACTCAACAGAAAGGGGCTTGTAAGGGTCTTAGTTTTTTTTTTTTTTGGTAACAGGGATCAAACTCGGGACCTTGCGCTTTTGAGGCAGGTGCTAGAACCACGGAGCTAAATCCCCAACCCTGGGTCTTAGTTTTTAAAAGTTTGATTTTTATTAGTACAGTTTGTGGTAGAGACAGAGTCCTGAGTCTCCAACTCTACCATCTGACATAACTATGGTGCAACATCCTTCTTAGGTGTTTTCAAGTGTAGGAAATTCTATTGATTTTTCCATGTTTTGTACTTCAGTGCATAGTCTCATTACTTCCAGTAGCTTTTTATTGGGGCCTCTTGGATTTTCCAGGTATTAAAAAAAAAGCTACATTTCTCCTTTTCCACATTATAACATTCCCATTTATTTTATGTTAGCATGTCTAAGACAATGTTGATGAGCAGTATGTTTTGGTCTCATTTTTTTTTTTTTTTTTTGGTACCGGGGATTGAACTCAGGACCTTGTGGTTTGTTTTCTCATTTTGATATGACTTTTATCATTTCACTTAAATTTAAAATAGAATTTTATTTTTGGGGTTTTTTTTTGTACTGGGGATCTAATTCGGGACCTTTTGCTTGCAAGGCAAGAACCAGTGGAACCACTGAGCTAAATCCCTGGCCTCTAAAATAGAATTTTAGTTGGGCATGGTGGTGCACACCTGTAGTCCCAGCATTTGGGAGGCTGAAGCAGGAGGCTCACTGTGAGTTCAAGGGCAGCCTGGACTATATAGAGTCCTTTTCTCAAAAAAACCAAAACCAAAACAAACCCAGAATCTAATTGGCCTGGCTGTTCAGCATGTCTGTCGAAATCACAGCCTATGCCTCTCCCTCTGGGATGGCCTCACAGGTTAGGGGTCACCACGCCTCCCCAGCAGGTGTTGGGGCCACCTTGGAGGAGGCTGGCTAGAGCACTGAGGAGGCCGGGCCAAGCCAGCAGGCTGGGGCTCAGGAGCTGGAGACCATGATGCTGTATTTCAGCTTCTCTGAAGCTGGTGGCTTCAGAGGCTCAGAGGCATTCCTTTAGAGGCATTCCTTTTCTTATGCTTTAAAACTTACACACACCTTGTCCAGGGATTTAGCTCAGTGGTTTGGGCACCTGCTGCGAAAGCACAAGGTCCCGAGTTTGATCCCCACTACCAGAAAAACAAAAATCTTACACACATTGGGTATTCATTGTGAACACCTTGATCCAAGAAAAAAGGGCAGTGCATGAATGCAACTAAGAACTCTGCTATCATGAGTGACCCTGAATATGCACATTTCTCCTCAACCCATTGGAAAGCTTCATTAAAAAATTTTTGTGTGTGCATGTTTGCAGTACACAAAAACCTTACTACTGGGCCGGGGATTTAGCTCAGTGGTTCCACCACCTGCCTCACAAATGCAAGGACCCGAGTTCGATCCCCCGTACCAAAAAAAAAACCAACAAAAAAAACCTTACTACTGTGACTGCTACTAGTTGGCAAACACCTTATGCCCCTCATACCTTGCTGCATATCAAGTTCAGTTAGAAATTACTATCCTGTTAGGATGGAGACCACCCTGAGTTAGCTACAAGTTCATACATTGGCTTTTCACATTAAAAGTCTGCATCTACCTATTAGCCCCAATCATTGCCTGAAGAGCCAGTGGTTGGTGTGTAGGAAAGAAACAGCTTCCCACACCACTGGTCACAGTGGAAGTCTCAGTGATCCGGGACGGTGATGTCTTGGATGGCAAGCCAATAGTGCAGCTCAGGGCAGCATGACTCGTACAAAAAACTCATATAAAGGTAAAAATTAATCCATGGGAAGAAACGAATTTCCCATTAATCTATGAGCTGTAGGATGTTTTGTTCCCTTGTTGCTAGACCTCTGCCTGAGTCGTGCACTCCACCTCACTGTTCCCTGCACTGCCCTTTAACCCTTCTAGAAGCTGTTCAACAGCGGCAAGCTCCAGGAGATGGTGTACTAGCCTGGTAAGAGCTTTGGCTGTCCTGGGCCCCCATTTATCCATTAAGATCGTGTCTTGTCTTTTTTCATCCGTCCACCGTACCCTTGGTCAGGTGATTGGGAGTTCTCCCAGCTTCCAACACTGTTAAAAGCAATCAAGACAAATAGCAGTAAAGTCTTTAATTTTACAAATAACCTTACAGAGCAGGGTGAGGATTCTATTAACATTTGCTTGTTTTGGGTACCGGACAGGGGATTGAACTCAGGACCCTTGCCCTTGTGGGGGAGGCATGGTGCCAGTGAGCTAAATCCCCGGGCCTCTGTTAACATTTCATTGTAATCTAATATGCAGTATTTGACTGATCACAGGCTATTGTTTCCTCAGCTCCTGTCTCTAGAATTTGTTATAATAAAAATTATTTTAAGCAAAACCTCCTTATCTACAAAAGCTATTTCCATTTTTTCCCCCTTGTCCTTTTTTCCTCCCCCCTCCTTGTTCCCCTTCTCATTTGAACTTTTTCTTCCCATTTCCCAATATCTAGTATACATTTTCGCTGGGTGTGGTGGCACACGCCTTTAATCCCAGCATTTGGGAGGCTGAGGAAAGGGGATTGCTGCAAGTTCGAGGCCAGCCTGGGCTACGTAGTGACTGTCTCTAGAATTTAAAGCAGTTATTGAATGGCAGAAATTTCTTCCAGAATCCAAATGTAGAATTTGGGACATTATCAGCTGTTACTCTGAATAGCATCCAAGATTTCAAAATTTCTGCTCAGCTGGAAAGCTAAACCATGACTTCAAAAATGCTTGGGAGAGCCAGGCATGGTGGTACATGCCTGTAATCCCAGTATGTGGGAGGGAGAGGCAGGAGGACATAAATTCAAGCCCAGTCCAGGCAACTGAGTGAAACCTTGTCTCAAAATAAAAACGGGCTGGGGATGTAGCTTAGTGTGGAGGCCCTGGGTTCCATCCCCAGCACTGCAAAAACCCAAGACAAAGAAACAAACAAAACCTCCCAGGAGCCTGGCAGAAGGTGCTAGTAGTCCAGTACCCAATTCTCTCAGTAACACAACCTCCAATGTTAACTGAGCCAACTACAACAGCCCAAGTAGACTATTACCGCTCATCCTTCTTTCTGGCTAATAGGACCCAGTGTCTGAGGGGTGGCTGACTGTTCTTAATAGGACAGGGGCTGCCTACAGTGGGCTCACAGCAAGGGTGGATGGGAAGCAGCTGTCCTCTGCCAGGAGAGTGGGAGGAGCCAGATGCCCACGCTGCAGGGTGCTATGTAACCCTGGACTGCTTCCGGACTTTTACACATGAGAAGCAAGTTTCTAGCCTGTTTAAACCGCACACAAACCAATGCACGTCAAAGCTGGGTCCCCTAGGTAGACCAGAAGGCCCACACGAGATGCACTGCACCTGGTGGCAGTGATGCCTACTGTTCCAATGTCCTAGGATAAAAGGTGTTTCCCATGGTGAATGCTGGGTTGTCGATACACACCAGGGCATTTTCAGAGGAGCTTAACTCCACATTTGAGTCTCATGATAAACCTCTAACTCTGTGTTGTTTTGGAGGCATGGAGGAGAATCAAGAACAGGGGCCGGGGATTTAAGCTCAGTGGCGTTGTGCCAGCTTGGCAAGTGCAAGGTCCCGAGTTTGATTCCCAGTACCAAAAACAAAAGAACAGAAAGTACCACCTTTTAACTGGGCTAGGATGTAAAATGACCAAGTCCCTTCCCACAAGAAAACTGTTAAGCAATTTAAACAAAACAAGAATGGCTGATTTTATTTACAATACTTAATGCATCTTACAAATAACACATTTTCATTCCCTAAGCCTTTTGGAAGTAATTCGTTTGTGCAGTGAGTTTACAGGAAAACCTTAAGATATCGATTAGACATCTTAAATTCTGAACTCTGAAAGATATTTCACACTATATTAATAAAGGACTGTTTTTAATCAAGAAAAACTAAACTCTGTCGTTAAATATTGTCCTCTGCTACCTTTACCCCCAATACAAACTGGATTAGCCCATGAAATAATACCACTGGATTTGGATAAATTATTCTCACCTTCTCTTCCCAATCAGATGCACGCACAAAGTCAACATGGTAAATCACATTAGTCACATTTTATTTCAGTGCTTTCTGTTTGGACTCTCAACTATTGCTGTGCTCACTCTGGGGCACAGGCAGGCAGCATTCCAGTCTGGAGAAACCTGAAGCCGTGATCCCTGCTCCAGAAGGCCTTGCAGTTAGGCCGGAGACAGGCTGGGCAGACTGCTGAGGTCTCCCTAGGAGGCAGGCTCGCTGTGGGAACCCGGTCAGTTATTCCCTGCCAGCAGTCCAGGGAGTGTCTAATCCAGGCTTTTGTAGGACAACAGGCTCCTCTTCCTCTCCTCGTCCTGCATCACTACCCAGAGCTCAGTGTCTTCTGAGGTGATGACAGAAACCAGGTCCTCTGTTCAGGGCACCAGAAAGTGCTTGATGTCACACAAGCATGGCATGGAACAGCCAAAGAGCAATGACATAACTGGGCAAGAGTTTGCACCTGGTGTGTGTAACAGTGGGATGAATTTTATCATTCTTACAACCGCCATCTCTTAGAGCATCAAGTCCATGTCCCAGCTCCCAAGCCAGAGAGAGGGGACAGAGGCTCTCTCCTGTACTGGACCCACCCCACTTAGCGAAGGTGGCTGACTAGGGCAATGTTGAACTGCAAAGATAAAGTCTGGGACACAACAGTCACCAGAATTTTGAGCTAAACAATGGTGAGGTAGAGCTGAGAGACTTCAGTTAAGTTTCTGAGCAGAGACCTTTTGGCACACACTGAAATTGCAGGCTCCCTATCAGACTCTCTTCTGTGAAACCTTTACAAAGTGCTGACAACTGAGGAACCCTCAGGTCTATTTAGGAAACAAGTAAAACTAACAAAATAAAGTCATTTGAAGAAATCCATTCCTGGCACTTTAGCTATTATCTGCCCCCCGATTGAAGCAAATAAAAACAATGCTATCCATTTGCTGAATTTATTTTAACAAATCGATTTAGAAATACCATAGAATTAAACAAAACTTCTGACATGTAAACATACTGCCATGTTCCTGAACAGATGTTAACACCTGATAAAAGTTAGTAACTGCTTGTTAGGAAAGCTGTCCGTGAATAAGGCCGGTCTTCAGCAAAACTAAAACCACTGTTTCTTCAGCCTTCCTAGTCTGACAATGTAATACTATCAAACCACAATCAAATATAATAAAGACAACATTGGATGGATAGATCAGTACCATTGGTTACAGCTGTTAAACAGTTTCATTCTCGGCGCCACACAGAAACAATTAAGCCAGTCACATCAAATAAATCATGGCTTTTTTCTTTATCACAACTCACTAAGTGATGTTAATTATGGTCCTTGTCAAACACATTTGGTAAAGGCTATTTGCAGTGTACATGGCCGAGCATGCACTATTTATAGTTACAAAGATACCTGCCAGTTTATTACAATAGAATTACACAGTGCCTGAAAATGGTGAAACATCTCACACATCATTTAAATCAATACAGTTTCAAGCAGAAAACGTTCCTTATTTGACCACAATTGCAATAATTACATGAAAATTCTTATAAAAACATGAATCCTCTTCAAGAAATTGATGCATATTCTACACACTACAGGTTAAGGCAGTAAAAAAGTGTATTCCTGATAACTGGAGGTCTTGACAATGTCAATTAAAGCTGTCTCACTCTAGTTGTCATTCTCCACCATATACTCAAAGTTTGTGAATGATTTCATTTTTAAAGTCAAAAAATTGTTAGCAACTAAGAATTGACACTGGAGAAAAGTAATTGGTAGGGAAAGAAAAACTTAGATTTAGCCTGCAAGTTTTCAAATCATAAACAAGAGCATTATTTGTTAGTTTGAATCTTAAATTATAAAACAAATACATATAGTTTACCCTTAATTTAAAATATACTGTACTTTGAACAATTCAAGTAATATAAGACTATCAAAAATAACTTCATATGCCATACAAGGGGTCAATTGCATTTTCAATTAAGAACTTAAAAATGTAAACTAAACCATGACAGTTTAGTTACATAAATGATAAATGACTTATTTGCACTTGTGATTCCTTTAATAGAAACTGTTACCAACAAATATGTAAAGATATGGCAGATTATGTATTTGATCAAAGCACTTTAAGCATAAAACAGATCTCAATGGTAAAAGTCTGTGCATAAGATCCAAGGAGTCACCTTGAACGCATAGGTGGCCCCTCTGGCCAGAACCTGTCGCCCCACACTGTGGACAGACAGGGCGCAGCTGCTGTAAACCCTGGAGGGTGCTCTTTACTTAACAGCATTCTCCTTCAGCTGAAGAGTCTTTCCCAAGTGTCTTCCCGCACTGTAGTATTTTCTGCTGACCTCTTAATTTCATAAATTAACTTTCCTTGATTCCATTTTTATGGTGGTTGTGTTCACAGTTTTGTTTTAAAAATTGGTTTAAATTTATGTAAAACTCTGTACATGTTCACAAATTATTGCATAAACAGCATCATCTTCAAGACAGTGTTTGCAAACACATGCCCAATTCAGGAAAAAAAATTCACGTTTCTCGTCTGGCTTTCTTCTTCTTTTTTATTTGTTTGGGAGATTCCCAGTTAGTTTCAGACTTGGCTAGAAGAAAAAAAAGAGAGTGGAGAGAGATGAAAGTCAGAAAAAATAAGTATTGCCGTGTCTCAATAATATAAAAATAGTAACTATAAAAAAAAATGCCTTAAAATTCTTAAATTTTATGTTTTTCAAGTCCTAGTTATGTATTTTTAAATTGACCTGTATCTGCCTCCCTCCTTTTAAGCTCAATGTATTATTAGGTTTGCCTCTGCTGATAAGTCAACCAGATTTTTTTGTTTTTTGAGACAGGGTCTCACTATGTAGAGTTCAGACTGGCCTTGAACTCAATGTAGCCTAGGCTGGACTTGATCTTGAAAATCTCCTGCCTCAGTCTCCTGAGTGCTGGGATTATAGGCATGGGCTGGTATGCCTGGTGTTAACCAGTTTCGACTAGAGAAACTACCATTTTCTATTTTGAAATGGGGTCCTACTATGTGGCCCAGGTTGGTCTTCAACTGCTGGGCTCTAGCAGTCCTCCTCTCAGCTTCCTGAGCTGTATGCAGAGCCCAGGTGGAAACCACCATTTGCTACGGCTCAGTTTAAGTGATACAACAGACCACTGAACACCGAAGAGAGCCAAAGGTAGAAAGGAAGAGAAACTTGTAGTCAGTCTCTTAAGACTGTATGCAAAGAGAAATGCAGAGGGATCAGATAGTCAAGCAGGCAGGCAGGCACTGAGCTGTCATCTTTTTCCTTCTTGCGGCACTAGGTCTTCATACTGAGCTGCATCTCCATTTTTCATTTTTTAACTTCAGACAGGATCTCACTAAGTCTCTAAGCTGCCCAGGTGGGGCTCAAACTTTCGATCCTCCTGCCTCAGCCTCCCAGAGTGCTGGGATTGCAGGTGTGGACCACTGCACCCAGCCCCAAGCCTTCTTTGTTCTTCAATTATTTTAGGAACCTGGCCCTCAACTAAAGTCCACAGGATTCCAAGGCAGCTAGCACTTGCACAGGAAGGAAAGCTCATTAACCCATTAGGCTTCTAAGACCACAACCTTCACAAATGCATAAGAAAAATGTCAAAGTACAGGACATGAAGGAACTGAAAAAGAGGGCAGCTTACTCTGTGAAGGAGGCACACTATTTTGCTTGGTATTTGACTTGGACTTATCGGTCTCCTGCAGCATCGGTGGCACTTGGGAAGAGCTCTTGTCAGAATCACTTTTTGCTGGGGGAACAGATGGCTTGGTGGGAACAGCAGGTGGAAGAGTCTTCATAGGCTATTTTGGAATAAAATTATCTCAGAGCTTCTGTAAAATTTTGCAAATAACACCATCACAGTAATATCGAGGCCATTTAGCAGCACATAAACACTAAGATGGTTGGTTTCCAAGTAATTTACCAGCAGAAACAACAAAACTCATGTCTGCCCTCTAGAGACCAAATGAACCAGGTATGGCAATATTTACCAATATAGGCTGGGTATAGATGAAGGTATAAAATGGCTCTCGAACAGTGAATCATTTCAGTTTCATTAACTTGTACACTCTCCTGTTTCACTGTAATAATAGTACTTTATATTCTTTAGCAATTTAATGGTCTGTCCATTTCCCACCTGACCACATAAAAATTTCTTTGCTAAAGATAAAGAAAAGCAACAAACTTCTAAATGACCAGTGGTTGATACTCCCTTAGCTTCTTCCCTTCCAGACAGGAGCAGCACTGGCTTTGGTTTTGCATCAGCAGACTGTGGCACCAGGTCCGCCCAAATCTAGACTTATCCCGTGGCACAATTAGAACGCTTATCGTAGGGCCCATAGCCCCCACCCCACACACTACATTGAACCCAGGGCCTTTGCACTGAGCTTTAACAAAAGTTGGGGAATGCAGCTCTGATGCAAAGGTCTTGGGTTCAATCCCCAGTACGAAAACAAAACACAAGATAATACCAAAAACCTCACTGAGGAAGAGCCATGAGTGAATGTCAGACCAGGCAATGTTAAAAATGCTAACATTGGGCTGGGGATTTAGCTCAGTGGTTCCGCTGCCTGCCTCGAAAGTGCAAGGTCCCAAGTTCCATCCCTGATACAAAAAAAAAAAAAAAAGCTAACATCTAGAGTGCCTTGAGGCAGAGGGGAGGAGGTCGCTGTGCTGACAGGGCTCCCTGCGATCACTGGTCTGAACTAGAAATGAGGGAAACCTTGGCTTTTCCAGGCTCCATGGGTTCAAGAAGGCACAATGTGAAAAGGACATAAGGAAGGGATGTGAGCCCAGGTGCTCCTATTTGAGATGTCTGAGGCTCATCTATTCTGCTTGGTTTTCGATCTTTCTTAATGGTCCCTGTATTTATTTTACATTCAAAAGCTTATTACATTTTATATCTTTTTCCTCCTCTATTTTCTCTCTCATTCATTCATTCATTCATTTATTGGTACCAGGGATCGAACTCGGGTCCTTTCTCAGTTATGTTAAATCACAGAATCTACAACATTCTTTTCAAGATGACATCTGAAAATGACTTAAACGAACCTTGCTATTTACCATGAAACATATAAATACACGAAGACTGCACCCTTTTACCTGAGAATTTACCTAGGGGATTTTAAGCATCAAATCCAAATAGGATGTATGATTGAAATTGTTTTAGCACATGCCTTTCAAATTCAATTAGCAGTAACTTAGTTAAAAGCTGTTTTCCTAAATATGAAAGTCCCAAAGGGTGGGATGTTCTCTGCTGTCTCCCGCACCTCAAATAGCTTGTGGTACACAGTGGGGTCTCAAAAAATTTTTTTGAATGGGCAAATAATGAACCTGGCAACTCTAACAGAATTCACCTGTCACTGGCCTAAACTTTTCGTCCAACAGTCTTGCCCGTTCTCACTAGGTTCTCACTATGTAGTGCAGGGTGGCTTTGCACTAACAGTGATCTTCCAGCCTCAGTGCCTGAGTGCTGGAATAACAGGCGTGCACCACAGCACCCAGCTTACTGGTCGCTCCTGCTACACTGGTATTTTCCATGGAAGGTGCATCATTCAAAAACTTGCTACCAAATGTTACATTCTGTGAGACTGAACTAGTTATATGAAGGGCTGTTCGAAGTGGGGAGGCTGGCCCTGGTTCAATCCCTACACACACTATGTTTTCCTGTTCAATGTTTCTGGAGCTCTTACCAACCTCAGGACTGCCTCTGGACAAAGGGGACTGCTGTACGGTGGCTCAACTTCTCAGAACTTCATTTGGATAATGGAACTTACCTTTCTCTCTGAGTTGTTTTGTGGACTAGTGCATTAAATGAATTTTTTTTTGTACTGGGAATCGAACTCAGGACCTTGCCCTTGCCAGGCAGGTGCCATACCACTGAGCTAAATTCCCAGCCCAGTCAGTGCCTTTAAAATTCTTATTAGCATAGTGCTGCAATTAAACATAAGGGTTAGGGGCCTGGAAATTTAGCTCACTGGTTTCGCCGCCTGCTGTGCAAGTGCAAGGACCAGAGTTCGATCCCCAGTACCAAAACCCCCCCCCAAAAAACCGTAAGGGTTCATTCAAATTTTACTGATCTCTTTTTTTTTTTGGTACCAGGGATCGAACTCCGGTCCTTGTGCTTGTGCAGCAGGTGGCAAAACCACTGAGCTAAATCCCCGGCCCATCATTCAATTCTTGAGTCAATAAAAGTATTATTCCTTAAAAATTACCTGGCTATTTTTGACCAGTACTTCGGCTGGATCACTAGTGTTCACGGTCTTCGAGGAAAAAGCTTTTTCTTGTTTTGGACGGGCTTTAGAGGTATTCACTGAAAGCTCTTCTCTAATCTCTTTTTCTAATTCTGTGTCCTACAGAGGAAAGTAGTCTATTAGATGATAAAAATTACTCACAGTGTACTAATAAAAACCCATTTTGCCTGCTGTCCTGAAGATGACCCTGCCAAATAATTTCATTTCAGAAGTTGTCCAAACAACTTCTGGAACATGAATTTATCACTCCTGCCGTCTCTAAGGATAACTCCTTAGAGTTGTGAATGAAAAAACATTACACACAGATCCCAAAATGGGAACCATTCCAATTTAAACCTATTCAAATAGAAAAAAAGAAACTAATATATATTCTATTAAAAAACACAATGAACCAGTTGATACTTGAAATAAAACATTTTAAATACTCCTTTAGGGAATAAAATGTTTGCACATACAAAGGAGAAAGGATGCTGATGGAGAATCCCAGGAAAAATTTAAAGGTTGTACCTAAATAAACTTGCTTGCTTTATTTTCTATTTGCTTCCTCTTTTTTTTTTTTTTTTGGTCTCCTGGGGATAGAATCTAGGTCCTCATTCATGTTAGGCAAGTGCTCTACCACTGAGTCCACCATCAGCTCCACCTAAGTAAGCTTCAATGTCTCCATTCTTCCTCTTTTTTTTTTTGTACCCGGGATTGAACTCCAGACCTTGTGCTTGCAAAGCAGGTGGTGGAACCACTGAGCTAAATCCCTAGCCCCCTTCCTTTTTTGAGACTTTTACAAAGTTTCAACAAAGTAACTGTTAGGGTTTCTATCTGGGTGTCCCCCAAAGCCTCATGCACCCATCCATGGGGCTTTGGGGAGGTGACCGGATCAAGGCGGCGTGATACTATGAGTGGGTGAGTCCACTCAGCTAATCAAAGGCTGTCTCCTCCCTCCTCCTTTGCTCTGCATGTTTCCCTGCTCCTCCGCCATGAACTCTTTCTCCTCTGCCTCAGAGCCCTGCCTTGGACCAGTCTACGATAGATTGAAAGCTCTACAAACTGCGAGCCGAAATATTCCTATCTTCTTAAACTGTGTGTTGGATATTGTGTCTCAGTGATGAGAAAGACAGACAATTCTAAATCACATTATAAGGCTCAGGTATGTATGTGCAATAAATATGACAGGAACATTACTGTGAACTGTATTGTTCTTTGGCAAACACATACATATAAATTGTAGTTGTTCTGATTTTTAATAAACAAGATAAATTATCATATAAAATTATTATATGAGACTCTAGTAGTTGTCTTTTTTTTTTTTTTTTTTTGGTACCGGGGATCAAACTCGGGACCTTGTGCTCACAAGGCAGGTGCTGGAACCACTGAGCTAAATCCCCCGCCCTAGTTGTTGTCTTTTTTTGGCACCGGGGATTGAACTCGGGACCTTGAGCTTATGAGGCAGGCAGAGGCACCACTGAGCTAAATCCCCAGCCCCAGTAGTTGTCTTTTTCACTGGCTTAGATAATCACACATGCTTCTATCAAATACTGCTGTTCTATCAATCTTGTTCAGGATAGTGGTGGGTTTAGATGGTAATTCAAAATTTATGTGAATTTAAGCTCAGCAGGTAGCTGTGGATATATGTAAGGCTTACAATCTCATAAAATTATCAGAAGACAGCAGTTTATATCTATCCTAAGTTGAACTTTGAAGAACCCGACCAACCACATACTACAACTAAAAAGAACTTATTCCAAAATATAAACTTTTATGAATAGGATACTACTTGCAATGTACTGTGTAGAACTTTTAATTCTTTTTTTTGCTATGTACAGAAGTTCAGGCTGGGCTCGAACTCACTATATAGCCCAGGCTGGCCTTGAACTTGAAGCCAGTGTCCTGCCTCAGCTTCTTAAGTGCTGAGATTGCAGGTGTGCGCCATCATGCCTGGCCTTTAATTTAATTCTTTAAACAACCTAGGTAGTTAAATAATTTGTGGAAAGAAAAAACCAACAACAAAAAAGTAAATGGCAGAATAGGAGTCTGGATACATCAGATTTCAAACTTAGAATACTTTATTACTATGTAACAGATCATTTTTTTTTTTGGTACCAGGGATTGAATTTGGGTCCTTGTGCCTGCGAGGCAGGTGGCGGAACCACTGAGCTGAAATCCCCGGCCCCATTTTTCTTTTGTACCGGGGGTATAACTCAGGACCTTGTGCTTGCGAGGCACGTGGTGGAACCACTGAGCTAAATCCCTGGCTCTATAACAGATCATTTTAAAAAGGATTATCCAAATAAATGTGGAGTATTCCTTCTCTGATTTGACACCCCCCCACCCCCTGCCCCCAACTGAGGATACCAGGGCCTAAAGCACGCTTGGAAAGCGCATGACCATAGAGCTACATCCCAAGCCCTGAGTATTCATGATCTCAACTGCTTGGGACTAGGAATGATTCAGATTTTGAAGTTTTGGATTTTGGAACATTTGTGTAGATGGCAGTGGTCAAAGTTTTGGATTTTTGGATTAGGTACATGTAACATGTATTAAAGAAACTTCAACATGTCAATGACCTTTGTCAATTAGCTGAATATTTCAGAAAATATTTATACAGTTTCTTTTAAAAACAGCTCAACTAATCCACAATCCAAAAATACAGTGTCAGTAACAAGTACTAGTTACTTGTGAGCCATAATTTAACTCCCAGAAATTGAAGAAAAACTTGGCTAAAATAGATTTGATAGTATTACTAACAAAGAGCATCTGGCAATAAATGTTTATCAGCCAGCCAGCTCCAACTAACAAGACAAGCATATCATGTAGTTTTAGTTTTTTGTATCTATTAGCTTTAGCCCTGTTACCAAACAAAGAAGAATCTCCACAACAAAGTGGACACAGGGCATGTGCCTGTAATCCTAGCACGCTGGGAGGCTGAGGCAGGAGGATCAGAAATTTAAGCCTCAATTTAGCAACACAGTGAGACCTTGTCACACTGACACACACAGACACACATACACACACACACACACACACACACACACAGTGTGTGCATGCGCGCAGTGAGGATGTAGATGAGTGGAAAGGCCCTGAATTCAATCCCCAGTATTGCCAAAAAAAAGTTCATCAGTTGTAATAAAAATAGAAATGAAACTGTGTTTCTAGTAATCTTATGTTTCAAAGTAAAATACCTCTGATTTCATTTTTATTGAAAATTCAAAAGTTTTTTGCCAGATAGAGATTAAAGAAAAGCAATCAAGAGTTCAAAAGGAGTGATGGAAAGAGAGTTTCAGATGGTTAAAGGCCAAAAATGCAGGGAAGAACAGCAAATGAAATAACCAGCAAACTCAGAGTTAAGTGGATTGGTTTTTCTTTTCTTTTTTTAGACAGGGTCTCATTATGCAAGCCATGCTGGCCTCAAACTCATGGAGCTCCTCCTGCCTCAGCCTCCTGAGTGCTGGGACTACAGGATTGTGCTACCACACCCTGCCACATGGTTTTTCTATTGTACTAAATGCTACCTTACAGTTCCAATTTTGTAAGTGTAAAATACCGTACCTTTTTCATTGCACCATTTTATGATAAAAATACATCTGAGTAATTTTGAATTTATTTTTGAATTTAGCAGGCCGGGGATTTAGCTCAGAGTTTCCGCTGCCTGCCTCGAAAGCACAAGGTCCTGAGTTCGATCCCAAGTACCACCCCCCAAAAAAAGATATTTTTGAATTTAGGTATATCACTTATGTTTTTAGAATCAATAAATTTATTACAGTATTATACATTAATTTTTAAAAATATGACTTTTCAAATAAACCTGATGTCCTTTTTTTTTTTTTACCAGAGATCGAACTCAGGACCTTACACTTGTGAGGCAGGTGTGGTGCCACTGAGCTAGATCCCTGGCCCTTTTTTTTTTCTTTTTCCTGGTACCAGGGATTGAACTCAGGACCTTGTGCTTGGGAGGCAGGCACTGCACCACTGAGCTAAATCCCCAGCCCTATGACGTCTTTTTGTTTGGAGACAGGGTCTCGCTACGTAGTTCATGCTGGGCTTGAAAAACCTGATGTCTTATACCGTCACTGATCTCCACATAATCTTAGCATCCATACAGTACCTTTCACATTTTCAGCAGGTGTTTAAGGAATGCTTATTGTTTTGGTATTTTACCTGTGCAAGAGAGTTATCTTCACCTTGCTTCTTCTTTTTCTTCTTTTTCTTTTTAGATTTTCCAGTTGTAAGACCTCCCTCTCCCTTTTCTTTATCGTCATCTGAAACCTGAAAATAAAAGCAAACACACTAAGTGAACTAATTGGCTAAATTTCTATTATTCAGAAAATTATTATTATTATTTTTTTTGGTACCGGGGATCGAACTCGGGTCCTTGCGTTTGTGTAGCAGGTGTTGAAACCACTGAGCTAAATCCCCCACCCAGAAAATTATTATTATTAATTTTTTCCAGTACAGGGGATTGAACTCAGGACCTTGAGCCTGCCAGGCAGGTGTGGCACAACTGAGCTACATACCTGGCCTTATTCAGAAAATTATAAAATAATTTCACTCACTAGGTTCAATCTTTTTTTTTTTTTTTTTTGGTACTGGGGATTGAACTCAGGACCTTGGTAATCACACTAGGTTCAATCTTTATCCTCCAAATCTAAGAATTAGTAATGAGTAATAAAGCCAATTAAAAATTAAGACATATTACAAAAATAAGACATATTAAAAAATGTAATGAATATACAGACCTTCATTATACTGTCTACAATGGACCCCTTTTACTATTCTTTTATTACTCACTACAAGATGATTGGAGAGCTGGGTAAACTTTCATGTTTAAAAACTCACTGAACCAAGAGACTCATGTAATGGTACAAGATCCCAATGATGAATGTAACTGTATTTTATACCTAAAATGTACCAATAAAGTTAATGGGGAAAAAAAAATAAAAAAATAAAAACTCACTAAATAAGTAATTCTATTTAAAAAAATTTTTTTTTTAAATTTTTGAGACAATGCTCCCTATGTAGTTTAGGCTGTCCTTGAACTCACTGTACAGCCAAGCTGGCCTCAAACTCCTGGGATCCTCCTGCCTCAGCCTCCTGAGTGCTAGGATTACAGGTGTATGCAACCATGCCCCGCCAGGTAATTCTATTTTAATGTGGAGTAGAAAATGCAGAGCTACCTGCATTAAAGTTTAGTTTGATCCTGCTAAGAGAATGAAGTGACAGGTTGCAGAGTGGGAGAAAATATTGGCAATATGGTAGTTCCAACAATAACTAGTAGGTAGACTATACTAAGAACACTAAAAATAGATAATAACAAAACCACAACTCAATTAGAAAACATACAAAAATACGAATAGACATTTCATCAAAGATAAACAGATGGCACAGCAGTATGTGGAAAAATGTTCAACACTACAAAGCTCTTAGGAAAATTCCAATCAAAACCGCAATGAGTGGTTACTTATCAGAATGACTAACAGAAGAGCCAGTGACAGCTGCAAACACTTACAAGACACCCAAACATGGTCCAAGGGCACATAAAGTGATATAGGTATTTCAGAAAATATTTTGAGTTTCTTGCAGTATCACATGCAGCCACCACATCACCTAGAGATGACACTCCACAAATCTAGGCCAGGGAAATGAAATCACGCTTACACAAGACCCCTCAACACTGTCTCCTGGCAGCTTTATCTATAATAGTCCAAACTGAAAACAACTTGAATGGGTCAACAGGAGAATAGTTAAACTCAGGGAAACCCAGATAATGGAATCTCAGCGACAAAAATGTGTAAGTTAGTAACAGAACAAACTGACAATCTCCAGAGAATTCAGCTGAGTGAAAAAAATAAACACCCCCAACCCACCAATATTAAAAATCTACATAGTTTAAAATCCCATAATGTAATACTTTTTTTTTTTTTGTGGTATCAGGGATTGAACTCCGGTCCTTGTACTTGCGAGGTAGGCATTGGAAGCACTGAGCTAAATCCCTGGCCCTGTAATATTCTTTTTTAAAGACAAGTCTTTTGCTATGGTGCCCAGGCTGTCCTTAAACTCCTGGGCTCACGTGACTGTCCCACCTTGGGTTCCTGAGTAGCTGGGACTACACTAACACGTCACTGCCCACGGCAGGGATGACACCTTGAAATGACAGACAGAACTGTAAGCTGGTGAAGGGATTGCAGAGGTTAGGGTGAGGGAAGGAAGGGTGGCTGGAAGAGGGCAACACACCCCTGTGACAGAAATGCTCTACATCTTGGATTACATTAATGTCACCATCCTGGTTGTGATATTGTACTTGTTCTCCCAATGTTTTGTTTTGTTTTGTTTTAGTACCAGGGATCAAACTCGGGTCCTTGTGCTTGCAGGGCAGGCGACGGAACCACTGAGCTAAATCCCTGGCCCTGTTCTCCCAATGTTAAGTGGGAGAAATTGGGTAAAAGGAATAGAAATTGTTCTGTATATTTTTTGTCTTTCGATCTTTGTGTGTGTTTTTTTTCTTGGTACTGGGGAATAGAACTCGGGACCTTGTGCTTGCCAGGCAGGCAGTGGAACCACTGAGCTAAATCCCTGGCATCCAATCTTCGTGGTTTTATTATGCTCTAGATTACTTCTTAGTTATGAATCTATGACTCAAAATACAGGGCTTAGTTTAAAAAACTGAGTTTGAAAAGGAAGGTCACTGAAAAGAACATTCTGTATGCCTATCAAATTGGAATTGTAAATTAATATTTCTGATACTTCTTCACATATACCATGTTTTGTTTTTCTCTCGGTACCAGGGATTGAACTCAGGACCTTGTGCCTGTGAGCCAGGCACAGTGCCACTGAGCTAAATCCCCAGCCCCTCACATATAACATGTAGTTGAACTCTGTGGGAAACTTTCTGCTTGCTCTCAGAGACAGACAACCTAGGTTCCTACACTACCCTTATAGGAAGAGCGAAACTGGGTAGCTGCTATTTCTCTGCTCAGCATCACAGTGGTAGGATGATTTTGGTAATGTTAAATAGCTTACAGAAATTACTAACAGATGGAAAAACCAAACAATGGTATAAATTCAACTAAGCAATTTTAAGCCCAAGCTGATTGCCAACTGTGGAGGCAACTTCTAAAGCAGTTTTTACCATGAAGTAGGCTCATAAAAAAATAAAACACCCTATGAACTGTCACATTCAATGGAGAATATTTTTCAGTCTGCTTCTCAGCCCACTAGAATGCAATCAGCCCCCAAAATGTATTTCTCCATGGCAAAATACTATTTTTGTTAATGAGAAGGTTGAAATTTGAAATCAATGCTTTACCATCTTTTATCTCAGATAAAAGAGCTAACATTGTGACACATTTACTTTGGATTTTTAATTTAAAATTTTTTTCTTGTGATTTTGAGATAGGGACTCACCATGCAGTCCAGACTAGCCTTGAACTTGTTATGGAGCCTAGGCTGGCCTCGAACTCATGGCAACCCTCTTGCTGGGGAGTGCTGGGATTCTAAATGCAACCATACCACCAAGTTTTCTAAAGAAAAACTTGTATAAATATTTTAATACTAAATTTATTGAGACATCATGAGAATTACAAGAGGTGCTCAACGTGGCCTTTAGCTTCCAGACATTTATTATTTTTCTTTTCCTCAAGGGTGTATAGCTTTTTCTGATGGACTCTGAATGATTTCTTTGTGATAAGGTAGAGTACTAGAAAGCTTCTGTGGGCCCAATCTAAAACTCATTTTGGGGCCATGGATTTAGCTTAGTGACACCATGCCTGCCTTGCAAGTGCAAGGTCCTGAGTCTGATCCCCGGTACTGAAAAAACAAAAATAAAAACAAACCACACTCATTTTTTCCCACCTCAATTTTCATATTGCCTGTTTATTGTGCCCCTTTAAATTTATTTAGTCTCTGCTCCCTCCCGCCCATTACTATCTTTCCTTCATCCAGTCTCCAAAGCTAAGATGTACTCCACCACTACAGTATGCAATATGCACAGAATCTCAAAAACATGCTTAATGACAAGGAAGTTACTAAAAGATATATCATATCACTCATGTAAGTTTTTCTAAGTGGGGCCGGGGATTTAGCTCAGTGGTTTTGCCGCCTGCTGCACAAGCCCAAGGACCTGAGTTCAATCCCTGGTACCAAAACAAACCCCAAAAAACAACAAAAAAAGTTTTTCTAAGTGGATTCCCACACATTTATAGAAATACTGGTTGGATGGACACAAAAGAAGTTCTAAATAGTAGATTAATGGCCAACCTACTCATTTGTGTCTATGGCTTCTCCATCCTCTACTGCCTCCTCTAGGACATTGCTCTATTAGTCAAATATTCTCTATCATGCATGTTTAATGCTTTAATTTATTCTAGATCCCTTTCCTTTTTGTCTACAGATATACTAATCCATCTAACATCACTTTCTATAAAGTTTATTTCCATATTACCTATGGCTGCATCAGACTCTATGGTTCCTTCCTAACAAGTCTGCCAACCTTGCACTAAAATCTATCGTTAAACCTCGCAAGCACAAGGTCCTGAGTTTGATCTCTGGTACCAAAACAAAACAAAACAAAACAAAAAACCCTCCCCACACAAAAGAAGAAATAAAATCTATCGTTAAAAACAACAACAAAATCCTCCTCCACATAATCCTTCCTGGTACCATATGTTGCTATCATCTACTATCTCTTCCCTATTCCTGTCCAAACTTATTTATTTATTTTTTTCAGTTCCTACTTCCTTTTATTTCCTTTTCTTTTGTGTTTCTGACTTTATCTTCTTGGGTATTATTCTTTTTATTTTTCTAAGTACTATCCCTCTACCTTAATTTGTTCATTCAGTCTGTAATTATTAACCTTCTTTATATAACTCATGTAATACATTTTCTGTAGTAACATATTATTGTGGAGTCATTGGAATACATGTAGGAATTCTGAGAAGGAAATATGTACCACTTCCCTTCTCTGCCTGCTGCTCTGAGTTGGGAAACGCAACAGAGTCACTCAAAACATTTAGAACTTCTATCAGTTTTCCCAAAATCATTTTCTTCAAAGAAAAATTACATTCACAAATGAAATGATTTGGTCATTGTATTTTCTTTGGGATTTTCTTCTCTGCTGATGAGTACCAATGATTGTTTCCATATTTCAGTAATTTTAGACCTTTTATTGGCTCATATTTGTTCTTCCTTTACAGTAAATCTTGGTTTTGTTCATCTCCTCCTTGGTTCTAGGACATTCTCTCTTCCCATGAATTTCCTCTGGCCTTGATGTCTGGATGACATCCTTTATGCAGTCCCTTTTCCATTGTAATAGCAAAATCCCTGGAGTTGTACAGCTTATAAGCTTGGGCAGTCTGGCTGTAACATCTTATCATGTGACCCTCACATACATGGGCTGACTTCTTGGCAGAGACATAAGGCAGCAACTTGGACCCAGACCCACATATTTGACGATACTCTACTTTGTACTTTCTTCCCACCAGACATTTCAGTTCTTGAATCTTCCATGTCTTGATATCTCCAGTGTATCTTGAAGTAGATTGTTTAAATATTTTATACTGCTATTCTCCTGGTTTCTTTCACCCCCAGGTCCTAGCATTTCCACATAGAGGCTTCTCCACTGGAATAATATTCTTGATTACTGTGTCCATTTGCTAGGCGTGACTTCACAAAAGTAATGACTATATAAGGCCCAAACAACTCCAGTCCCTGGTTGCTCCACTCAGATCTCACAAGGTTGCAGCAATCCAGGGATCAGCCACTCTACATGCCTTTCTGAAGTCCAGATGGCTGTTAGCAGACTTCTGTTTCTTGCTGTTGTCCAAAACTTATTTTTTAAAAATCGTATTTGTTATTACTTTTGTTCCTTCATCATTCAACTTCCTGCAATATGGTTTCTATTTCAAGATGGCTTCTCTCTTTTCTTTCTTTCTTTTTTTTTTTTCGGTACTGGGGATCGAACTCAGGACCTTGTGCTTCTCTTTTCTTTTTGAGATGGGTCTCACTGTATAGTTCAGGCTGGCCTTGAACTCATGGAGACCCTCCTGCCTCAGACTCTCCAGTGCTGGATTACAAGTATGCACCACCATGCCTGCCCCCCCCCCCCCCCCGTTTTTGGAGACTGAACTGAGGGTCTTCTGCATACTAAGGATGTGCAGTACTACAGAGCTACATCTCTAGCCTTAACCTCAAGATTTCTAATGAAACTTCCTAAATTATATGGAAGCAAATCCAGAGATGGTTTTCAGTTCTAACGTTACTATCTACTACCTGCTGCTTCTGATGCTGCTGTTCACTGACCTTCTGGACACTCTTAATGGTCTCAGCCTTTGTGATTCAGCTCTTCTCCCTCGGACTCTTATAACAAACACCCTCTAATCCCTTACCTTTTGATCATCAGGAGGTGGTTCCTGGAACTTCAGAAGTGAAGCTCTTTCTTCATCTACCCAATTCCCCCACTCTTCTGCTGGTGCATTCCAATCAGAGCTGGGATCAGCAGAAGACAGACCATCTAAAATTTAATTGTGATTTAATTAGTTATGTATCATTTCTGCCATAAATGAAAACTAATCATTCCTTATGGTGAATTAAGCTGTAATTTTATTTTATTTTTTTTTGGTACCGGGGATCGAACTCGGGACCTTGAGCTTTCGAGGCAGGCACCGGAACCACTGAGCTAAATCCCCGGCCCAAAGCTGTAATTTTAAACCATGGTTCTTCTTTCTCCCAAGCAATTAAAAAAGAGATAGAGTAACATGATAGTAACAACCTTTATCAAAATTCTGCTAGGCTTATGGGTAAAATCATTTTTAAGATATTCTAGAAAACTCAGTACTGTATTTAACCATTTAATTCCATTCTCTTCCTTTTTCAGTCTCCTGAATTTGCACTCTTTTCACTGTCCATCTTTAATGTGGTTATTTTTTCAATAGTCACATTTAAAAAACTGATTGTTTTTTGGGGTACAAAATTAATCTTTAACAGCAGTACCAAAATTATACTCCTCAACCTGTTGTTTTACATTGCCCTTCCCTCATCATTGTGAACTTTTCAAGGTTAGGTTCTTTAGATTTATCAGGCCACGAGAGAATGTGTAACTTCTTTTAATGCTTAGCATGTACCTTCTCGAATTTTCCAGATTACTGTTATCTGATTATTTCAAAAGCATTTTTAAGTCACTTACAGGGCTTTATACATCTTTGAAAGATAAATTTAATTCCAGATTTCCAAATCCTTTTCTTTCATCCAGGAGGCACTCAAATTTTACTTTCTTTAGGAAGCTATCACTGACTTGCCCTAAAAAGGGGAAACATTCTTTGGCTTTATCCTGGAAACAAGGGGCTATCAAAGTGAATTCCTCTAGATTTCTCTACAGGTCATGACTCGCACATATGCTCCTGTAAGATCAGGTTTTACTGATGACGATTTAACATGACCAAGGATAGGGTTTATTTTCACATGGTTGTCCTAACATTATTTAACTGCAAAAATCCAACCGTCTTCCATAACTACCTATTACTACTTTTATCAAATATTAAATCTTTTCAAATACATATCAGACTATTTCTGGAGTCTCTATTCTAGTCCACTGATTTATTCTTAGGAAAATGCCATACATAATTAACATACTATAGTATGTTATTTATGGTTAATTATGGTTACTCTTTATTTTCTCCAGGTGAACACTATTATTTTTGTTTAGGGAGAGATACTATAATACATCTTCATGAAGGCTTTTGGAAGACCATATAATAATCCATGAAAATGCCAACAGAAAAAAGAAAATCACAGACAAAACTGTTTGCATAGCATGATCCCAAATTTATGTGAGGAAGAGACAGAAGAAAATAACACATTAATAATAAAGGTATCTTAACAGTGGAATTACAGGAATTTCATCTACTCAACCCTCATTAATACTTAGTACTGTGTACTAAACTGGAGCTGGGTAGATTCCAGAGATACAGAAGTCAATAAGATAAACCCCCCACCCCCAATATAGTCTGTTCAGGGATGGAAACAGGGAAGCCTATCACACAATTAAGAACAGTGATAGATTTCATCACAGAGGGAAGAGGAAAGAAGGGGAGCTAAAACCAATAGACAGGGAGAGGCTGAAGATAAGCAAATTGATAAGTCTAGTGGAGGACAAACAGAACAAGTGATTATAGTGTGAAATATGTTACAAAAAAGGAGTCCTTCCCTATATTTCTAAATCACTACCATGAGCGGGTATCTGGAGTTAGTAGCACATAGTATTAACAGAAGTTAAGAGCTATGGGCCTTACAGTCCTTCAACAGATGTACATTTGAATACTCTCATCACTTAGTAACAATGTGATTTTGAGAGCTGGGGATTTAGCTCAGTGGCACTGCGCCTGCCTCACAAGCACAAGGTCCTGAGTTCGATGCCCCGTACCGGAAAAACAAAAACAAAAAACAATGTGATTTTGGTCAAATTTCTTAACTTTTTTTGGTGCCGGGAACTGAACCTGGGGCCACTGGACTGAGCTACACCACTAGGCGTTTTTAAAACTCTGAGTCAGGGTCTTGCTAAGTAGGTTGCCCAGGCTGGGCTTTAACTTGTGATCCTCCTGCCTCAGTCTCCCAGACTGCTGGGATTACAGGTGTGTACCACTGTGCCCAGCTAAATTTCTTAATCTTAATGGGCTACATCCCAACTTTATGGAATGCTGGGAGGATTATACAGATATGTAGATGCAAAGCAGTTCACAACAATGCAGTAGGTGCTCAATAAATGATAACTATTGCAATTACATAAAAGCCATTTCTGAGCTATTAGGAATATGTAATCAGGGACTTTATTTCTCACAATCCTGACGAATTTCTCAATAAGACACACTGATACATGTCTTGAACGTACAATAATGTTTTTGGTTTTTTTTGGTACCGGGGATGGAACTCGGGACCTTGCACTTGGTGAGGCAGGCAGCAGAACCACTAGGCTAAATCCCCGGCCCAAACATACAATAATGTTTACAAGTACAAAGGGATTAGGGCTGGGGATTTAGCTCAGTGGCTCTGCTGCCTGCCTCGAAAGCGCAAGATCCCAAGTTTGATCCCCTGTACCAAAAAAAAAAAAAAAAAGAAACAAAGAAACAAAGGGATCTACTAGGTGTCAGGAACCAATTGTCTTATTATATCAAGCACTTGTTAACAATACTATTAAGGGAAAAAAAAAACAATACTATTAAGGAGATTGAAATGTCAGAGCTATCATGAGCTTTGCTTAAACCTTAAGAAACCCAGATTTACGAAATTGCTGTCCATTGGCCATGTCTCTAAGACTACTTGCCAGAAAAGAAACTATCAAGTAGCAAAAAAGTTTCGGCAATCGAATGGACAATATACTAGGATCTAGGCCATTTTATGAATATGGTAGGAAGTGATGGTGAAGGATAAAAATCCAGTTCAGTACTTAAAACATCTCATTGTTAGTTTCCATTTGGTTGCCAGCTATTTTGGTCAGAACTTAATTCAACATTAATCACATTAGTAAAACAAAATGCTTATGTACAGTTAAATATTCTTCAGTGTTTACACAGGTGATGTTGATCACCCACTGAGTAGACGGCTAATTCTGCCACTAGGACAGCAGCAGGCACTGGACCCCAACTATACTCGAAGCAGTATTCTCACTGCTGATGTGTAGGAACCGATTTCATCTTCACAACTCTGTGGGGGAGGAGCTATCATCCCGACAGATGAGGAACTGAGGCAGAGAATGACTATGCAACTTGCATATGGCCAAAGACAAGAAATCTAAGATTCAAATTCAGGTAATCCATCCTGAAACCTCATGCTCTTAACCTAACCTCATTATGCTGCAACAAATTCATTCATTTCTTTAAAACATTTTTTAAAAATTTTAAATTTCTTTTTGGTACCAGGGATCAAACTCAGGACCTTGTGCTTACAAGGCAGGCATGGTACCACTAAGCTAAATTCCCAGACCAAATTTGTTCATTTCTGTGGGCCAACAAAAAGAAAAGTCCTACTCACCATCTACTTTTTACAAGGCTTATAATAATGTTAATTCTTTTATGGTCAAGATAATGACAGATTAACATTCATTTTAAAAAATGTTACCTCCTACATTTTAGCACCCTGACCTTATATTCAAGAACTTGGGCAAATTCAGTGCCGCTCTGTCAGACAATGGCATCTAGATCTCAAACCACAGAGAGAATATATGAGCCACATCACACTATACTGTAAATGTAAAGCTAACTTATATACTTTGTAGATTAACCTCAAAAGTGAAATCACACATTCTATAAATTGTAGTAATTGAGCTGGGGATTTAGCTCAGTGGTTCTGTCACCTGCCTCACAAGTATAAGGTTCCGAGTTTGATCCCCGGTACCAAAAACAAAAACAATAAAATGGCAACACAAAAGATAAAATTAAGATAAAATGAATTTAGAGTTTAAGACTGCCAACAAAGACCAACTTGAGGAAGACGGTGTTCCTCATACATATTACTTAAATACAGAATTCTGCACTACATGTTTTTAAATATCTTTTACTTCAACAGTTAATCATGTTTTTTCATATTTAAAGCATCTAATACAATAAACTAACAGAGAGCTACTCTGTCCAGTAGTGAAGCCTGGAGCCCTATTTGCTTGGTTTTCCTCAACTTAATCCACAATAGCCCAAGATATCTTACTGCTGCTTTCCTAAATCACTCCTATGATTCCTATAATTACTTCTTTGTTTGTTTGTTTTTTTTGGTACCAGGGATCAAACTCAGGACCTTGTGCTTGCGAGGCAGGGGCCGGAACCACTGAGCTAAATCCCCGGCCCCTATAATCACTTCTTAATTCTGCTGTGCATAAAGCAGACCATTCTTCATAGAGCTTGAGTTTATATGATACTCTATAATTTACTGAGTTTTTATGTTTATTCAGTACCTCACTAAAATCTCACAATTTGTGGAAGGAGATATAATGGACTATTTGTTCCATTTTATAATGCTCAATTAATTTAGATTCCAAGATAAGTGACAAAGCCCAAGCAATATAAGATTCTGCATTTTAGAGTCAGGATCAAAACTCAGATATACCTTCTCAACTAGGACTCTTAACACCCCAGCTCCCTAATTTTCAGCAGGAATTGAGGGCAGTTTACAATATGGGCCTCCTGAATTGACCTTTCCAGTCTCATCCCCCTTAATCTGTAATTACTGTGCTTCAACCACTGTGGTGCAAGCTTACCATCACGATCAGCAGCAGCACCAAGCCTATACCAGGTTGTGGTTAAAGAACGTGAACTCTGGAGCCAGACTAGCAAGGTTTGAATGCCACCCTCTACTATTAGCTGTAGGGCTTGGGAAAAGTTAGGTAACTTTGCCTCAGTTTCTGCATCTGGAAAGTGTGGGGGAAAAAAATCTATTTCATAGAACTGTTGTTAAGTATTAAGTGAACCAGTGCCTGGCACACAGTCCAGTGCTTACTTTTATCATTATTACTACTACTTATGTATAACACTTATGTATAAAGCACTGCAATAGGTGCTCCATATATCAAAGAATCAGTGTACTGGGTGTGATGGTTCATGCACGTAATCCCAGCACTCTGAGAGGCTGAAGCTGGAGAATCCCATGTTTGAGCTCAGCCTGGGTAACTTAGCAGACACTGTCTTAAAATAAAGAGGACTGGGGTGTGGCTTAATGTGAAGGTCCTGAGGTTCAATTCCCAGTACCAAAAACAAGAACAGTTGTTACAAAACTTTTCCCTCATGGAAAAGTTTTTTTTTTAAAGACACCAAAGAGGTATATGTTTTACTTATATTACATCACAAGAGAATATTTTCTTTTTAATTAAATTATTTCCAACTGATACAAAAACTCCCTAAAAATTGTGCTTTTTTTAAAAAAAGAGCAAAATGGTGGGAAATCCCATTGGGTAGCACAAAAGTGCTTAGGAAAGAAAGAAAAGAAAGAAAGAAAGAAAGAAAGAAAGAAAACAACGTGAAATACAATTCAAAGAACTAAATTCTGAAATTTAGAGTTATGATAGTTTAAACAAATCTCAAGATACTTTTATTTTTACATGAAAAGCTTTCTGAACATGAAAGCTATTCTTGCCTTTAAATCTTCTCTACATTTTTACTAGAAACTTAGCTAAGAAAGCAGTTTTCTGTTACTACAAAAACATGTACACTTCACAAATCTAAAGTCATTCATTCCTATGTCCTCTATCTTTATTTTTTGTACCAGAACCAGAACAGACCATTTGTTAAAAAAAACCCCTGAATTAGAAATACTAACAGAGCAACTATAAAACTTCATGTTTAAATACTGTCTCAATCATTATGAAAATTTTTGATTCTATATTTAATAATTAGATTTCAAATAGTACATGTGGTATTAAATTATATTACTATGATCTTTATAAAGGTGAGAAATTAGGATTAAAACATAAAGCATGAATTCAGGGTGCTAGAAAGAAAATTCTGAGAAAAATAACTGATAATTTTTAAAAGGACATACTTAACCCAGACCATTCATCATCGATATAGGGCTGATTACGGCTAACATCCCACTGATAATCAGAAGTGGTAGACTGAGAAACTGGCTCAGCAGTAGACCCTTAAATGAAAAACGAATGCAATAAAATTAAAAATGGAATTTCCTAATGTTTCATAACAATAGTTCTATACTTTGCACGTGGAGACTTTATTTTTCCTAAAAGAAAAAATTTAGACATTATAAAGAGTTAAGTTAAAAGGAAAAGTAGAATTGAGGATAATTTTAGATTAAATCTGAGAGTCAGCAGTCTGATTCACTGATCAGAAATGTTTTGCCCCTAGTACCAATCCATTAGATTTTGTCTTTTGTAATATATACTTCAAACTAGTTATCTAACCAATTTCAAGAAATCAAAATAAAGTTGTTTTATTTTCCTTCTTAGTGACAAGTAGTAAAGCACAAGTGAAATGTGGTCACTGGTCATTCTCTTTGGGTGTTTCAGGGTATACTTCAATCCTTAGGACCCTCAAAGATAGAATTAAGGCAGTGTCTGAGTTAGTGAGAGCTTTCCTGGTCAAGGAAAGTTAAAAGAAACAGACCAACGATCTTCTAGAGAGGTGAGCCAGAGAACAGAGACAAGAGAGCTGTTAGAAGTTCAGAAAGTTAAGGAACACTGAAGAGAACGGAATAGTCCAAGTTTTGTCTTTTTTGGGGTATGTGGGAAGCATAGGTCCTTTAAAAATCTGATGAACGCTATGGTGGGCAAATGTCCAGAACTTCACACTGAAGTTTGCATATAGTTTTGGGGGTGTATCATGGATGCTAGGTCTGAAACTCCTTGCTCGATGGCCATGTGTTCATTTCAAAATGTAAATGAAAGCAGTGATTGTCCATCAGGCACAAATACACCCCAAACTTTCAGAATCAGAACTTTCATGTGTGTCAAAGTAGGCAGGTAACTTTGTTACTCATTTTGGATACAGAGCCACTGAAATGGTTAAGAAGGGAAGACCCCTGGTTAGTACAATAGACTAACAATCATTTCTTCCTCCAAGAGTCCACACTAATATACAAATTTCCACTCGGTTACAGATGATCTTACTAGCATTCAACTAATATGATAACTGCCTGATACATACTCAAAACAGTTACACATATTTATGCAAAATGTAATAAACAACCTACAAAAGTAGGACATAGGTAATTAGCTGCTTAGAAGCACTTTTGTCATTCTGCTGCTACTTGAGCAGCCATGTTGCTGTGTCTCAATGTACGAAGAGAACAGCACCTGTGTTGTACAAAGTCACCAAAGGAGGAAGCAATGAAATGCAACCCCTGGAAGTGAAGGAAATGTGGGCTAGGAGACCAGGGGCAAACTGTGACCTGGTGGCCAAATTCAACCATCCTGTTTTTATATGGTCCATGAATCAAGAATAGATTTTACATTTTTAAATGGTCAGGAAAAAAAAAACAACCAAGAAAACACTGCAAGTCGAATAAACCTCTTCTTTAAAAAAAATCAAAACAGTAATATTTTGGAACCAGACACAAATATGTGCTTATACATTATCTCTGGCTGCTTTTCTGTTACCATGGGAGAGCTGAGTAGCTGCAACAGAGACAATATGGGCCACAAAGCCTAGAATATTTATTTATTTATTATTTTTTGGTACCAGGGATCAAACTCGGCTCCTTGCGCTTGCGAGGCAGGTGGCAGAACCACTGAGCAGAATCCCTGGCCCTAGAATATTTATTATTTGGCCCTTTACAGAAAAACTGTGCCAACCCCTTATTCTAGACTAGTGACACCAGACATTGTGGAATACAATTTAGTAAACAGCCTGTCAATTCCAACTTGAATGAAGCACTGCAAACTGGTGTCTCCTTCATTGATGTATCTTTTGTTAAATACATGTAGCTTTTATATGATTAATAAAAGGTATCCCAAATTAACCAATGCCGAATTGGTAGTTCATAAAAATAGTGTATGTTCTAAACCAACATATTCAAAATAGTTATTATGTGGGGTGTCCTTACAAACTAAAAGGCTTAGTTATAAACACATGATGAATAAAGGTAAACAGAAATAAAAACCCAAATTGCAACCAGAGGTATGGCAGGAGTACATTAGTGACAGAAGAGCATGATCCTGACCTAAAAGGACGGCTGTCCACAAGCGCTTGTCTGTGTGCCAGTGCACTGTCAGTAACGTCCATCAGGCCGGTCTTCCTTACTCCTCTGCGGGAAGGGACTAAGCCACTTGCACGTAAGGCCTTAGGGTTTCCCCTCCCTCATCCCCTTTTAAGGTCTCTGCCACTTTATATAACGATTATTATTTTTTTTTTTGGTACCGGGGATCGAACTCGGGTCCTTGCGCTTGCGCAGCAGGCGGCGAAACCACTGAGCTAAATCCCCAGCCCTATATAACGATTATTTATGTTGATAGCAGTACTTGATGCTAATTATTTTTCAAATAACAAGTGCTAAAATTAATTTAAACAGAAAATTTTGGTTAACTAAACGAAAGACTATTTTCACATACCAGAAACAGCAGAGTTAAGTGTGAGAGATGCAAAAGAAGCAGAATTCTGTTCAGAGGTATTCATTCCCCTATCCACACTAGACCAAGCAGCTGTTAAAATAAAGAACGTCACTTGGAACCTTCAATTTGCAACGACACTTGAAAGACAAGTACAGATGTAAAGCTATGATAACAATATTTAAAGATAACCTTAGAAATCAGAATCAATAATGCAGCAATAGCTACTATTTCCTGAATGTCTCTTATGTGGCTGGGGCCCTTACACCAACCACTACTCTACTCCTTACGGCAACTCTGCTAGTTTCAGAGCAGAAAACAACTGAGCTATGACTGGAACTGCAGTCGGTTTCCAAAACGCTCTTTCCACAAGACCAAGCTACCTTATTATCTATAATCAAGCAACTGCTTTGGGCCAGACATTGAGCTTGGTATTTGACATTTATTACAACCAATCCTTACAACTACTTAAATATGAGGTACATATAGGTTAAAAATAACTAACAGAACGTCCATAAAGGCTGGGACAGCTATTCTATTCATATGTAATAGGTCTGTCTCAACTAGTCTATGCTCATTCAATTATACCATGTGACCTTCTCAGTGCTTTCAAGATATTTCTTTCCTATATTTGAGTATAGTCATGTACTACACAAAATGACATTTTGGTCAATGGCAGACCACATGTATATGTGATCTTGTAGGATTTTACTGTCTAGCAACATCATAGCTGTCTTAGTTTAAGTATGTGCTATGATGTTCACACAATCTTAAATCCTTTAACAATGCAGATTTAGAAATCATCCCTGTCATTATGTGACATTTGACTGTATTTTAAGGGAACATATGCCTCCATGTGACCAGACACACCTCCTCTCATGAACCACTGCAAATCTAATTTGAAAGAGTTCCCTCTTAATTTCAACAACGGTCTTAATCTAGGGAGGAATTCTAATCTGCTTAATTTTACCTGTAGCAACACTACGCAAGTACCATCTAATCTATATCCTAACTATGAAATGTTACACAGCATTTATAAGTAAATTACAAGCATCCCAAAAGGTCACAATACCTAACAATACTTCATAGAACCTGATCATTTCTTTTACTAACTATGAAATGACGCTTTTAGCCCAGAAATGTGTGCTTTCTCTGTTGAAAATTAGGGTTTTCAGAATGTCTTTTTTAAACAAATTTTGATATTTCTACACAATTTTTATACATGGCAGGGGAAGGAGAGGAAAGCAAGCTTAAGAACAATATTAGTAATTAAAAATAAAACAGTAAGAGGCCATTTGACAAATGGCAAAGAACATGAACAGATAATTCACAAAAGAAACAAATGATCAAGAAAAATTGTGGAAATCATTCAATATCATCAATGATTTAAAAAAGCTAACCACAACAATTTATGTATTTTTGTTTATGAAATTAGAAAAGACAAACCAAAAAGGAAAGAAAGAAAGAAAAAAAAAAGACTACTCCCACCTTGGAAAGTGTATGATAAATGGGCACTTATGCTAATGCTGAGAGTATGAGAAATGACTCTCTTAGAAAATACTTTGACAACACATAACGGAGCCTTATAAACATTCATATTCTCTTTAACGTGAATCATTTCAAGAAATCTATACTAAAGAAATACTTTCAAATAAACACATTCAATGTAACACTGTCTAAAATATTTGGGAAAAAGAAAAAAGAAAAATGATCCCTCTGTAATATGGGAACAGTTAAATAAACTATGCTATACTTGCATAATACATCATAGGGCCATTAAATAAAAACATTTCCAAAGGGCAAGGAAAATATCTGCTACAATGTTAGGGGGAGGGTGTTTGCAGAAAAATAAAAATGCATATTTAATTTGAAAAAAGCCCAAAAAACAAAAACAAAAACCACAGACAGGGGGAAAAGATCATAAAGAAATAAAAATAATAAAACTAAGAGTCACTGTCATTGGGTGGTGTGCTAACAGTGAGTTTTCCCCTTTTTGCAGGTTTCCATACTCAACATGGATTTCTTTTCTGATATATACCCAAAAACTGAAAATCAAGCTGTTTTTAACTTAAGAACTCTAATAGAAATAAACTTCTTAAAAACTGGTCTTTATTATTAAAATCTGGGAGAGCCAGGCATGGTGGTGCACGCCTATAATCCCAGAACTTGGGAGCAGAGGCAAGAGGATCACCATGAGTTTGAGGCCAGCTTGAACTACATAGCAAGACCGTTTCAAAAAAAAAAAAAAAAATCTGGGAGAAAATTTAATTATAAATAGGTACTCTGGAGACTATAAAATATTCTATATACTATACTTCTATTTTTATTAGACTCACTAGTACTGAAATTAATCAGTCTACTCACACATGCATCACATCAAGAATACATAATTATACCAGTTAGCTACACTGATAATCAAATGCCACAGAGTATTCAAAAACATTATGTAAAGAATGAATGGTAAATGTTATTCACTTTAGTTCTCACCTTGCTTCTTGCAAAGAATCTGAGATGAGTTGATTACTACTATCATTTCTGTATGGCATGACTAAATTTTCTTTTGATGGATTTTTTTCCATTCTTGAAAAATTAAAAACATACCAATCAGCAACTTTAAACAGACTTAAAATTTTTTAACAGTTCTTACCGATGCCAGAAAATATTGAACGGTCACTCCAATTCCTTCCCCAGTCTTTTCCATTTACATTAGTGTCGCCGGTGTCTTGGGTCCAAGCAGAAGGCTCTGCTTTCCTCTTGCCTGCAGAAGCAGGTGGAACAGAGTTCCACTTCTCCTCACCTGCACTCATCTGTGAGGAGAGTTTTACAGGCTTTTCATTCCAGCCTCCTCCATTGACAGTAAGGTTTTCATTCAATCCTGAAGAAACTTAAAGAAAAGAAAAGAAAAATTAAAAATAGGTTCATGACTTCTCGTTAAAAATGGGATATTTTCAAATTTCTACACTTGCTTGGCTTAAATGCATCACTTTTCTCTTAACTATCTTTTAAACAGCTTAAGCCTTAAAGATAAAAATAAATTTTAAAGTGACATGGTCATCATGGTTCCCTACTAACTTAAAAATAGAGGGCCTAACTGTAACATATACACTAGTGATGTTTTCCATGGGGGAATGACTGGCTCAAAGGAAGTACAACAAAGCAAACAGGAAAATGAAACGTAATTCTAGTATACTTAGAATACTCACCCACTAAGAATATGAAAGTTTCTCCTGAGTTACATGGTCTTTCCTTATTTAGTCTGTATATTATGTATAAGGCAGTGACTCTACAACCCGGCTGCACATTAAAATCAACCGAGAAATTCCTTAAATATAGACTCTGGAGCCTCACCCCGGGTACCATATGTATGTACATGATTGTGATGATCATGTATCTTCTTAGGTATGTGTATCTGCGCCAGTGGGGCTTTTTGAGGGGAAACTCCCTAGATGATTGTAATCTGTAGCCAGGACCAAGAATCGTGGGCACAAAGGAAGCTGACAGTGGTGAGAACAAGCCTGAAATGAGAAGGTGCTTTTCATTTCTGAATTTGCTTTCCTACAACACTTTTTTTTTCAGGTCAGCTATATGTCACTGTATTTAATTTAATCACTTTAACTGAGTAAATAAGATGTACTTTCTATTTGCGATGATCCAAATAACTTTAGACTAAGTCCCATTTATTGTGAAATATTTGATACTAAGGAAGTAGTTTAAAAATTTAAGAACTAAAACTTTTGCTTAGGTGATGTAAGCAAAAATAAAAATTGTACACAAATTATTACTGTAAGTTTTTAAATATAGCTAGAACACACCACAAACTGAGAAATGGGAGTGATTTTTCTTATTACCCATTCTAAAATCTCTGAATTGTGATTAGGTTTCTTGAGTAATTAAAAATCTATTCTAAGCCTTTTGCTTTCGTTCTGTGTCATTCATGTGAGGAAAGAGGCATGTATATAAGTTTCTATTTTGATGGGCCTTCAATTTAAGTTACATGTAATTTTCTCTCACCCTGAAGTGTAGACTCTCCTTTTCCAGACTTAAAGTTGCTAACTTGAACATTTAGATGAGAATCACCTGGTTAAAATAGAAATAAAATTTATTTAATACTAAACAGGCCACTATGCACATTAAATTAGGAGTAATATACAACTTAATTTTTACTTATTATTTATAATTGCTCCTTCAAGTGGTAAATTCTTACAATGGAAAAAAGTCAATTTTATAACACATTTCACATATTCATAAGGAACTGAGTTCTCCAGTTACCATATTCTTCGTCAACTAACGTGGAAAACTGCCCAAATATAAACAGGGTTAGTTATTCTGCAATGGCTGTCAAGATTCTTTTAAGTATGAAGTGGAGAACTGGGCTCTGAAATTGGATTCAACTTTGCCACCTCTCAACCATACCAGCTGCCTTTTTCAACAATCCTGGAAGCAAACACATCAACTTAAAAACTCTGCCAGTATCTGGGACTAGAACTTAGGAAATATGGCAAGAGGTGAGAATAAATATTTCAATTCAAAAATACTATTTCTCTGACACTAAAAACTATAATGATCACAATGGATTACAAAGAAAGCATGAAACAGGATTGTGCAAGCAAGGAAGGCATGCACAAGACAGCGAACAAGGATCACCAACAAAAACACTAATGTACAGCTAAGTGACAGTGAAAATGAATGGATAAATAGAAATCACTGGTGTACCATGGCAATAAACTCCAATAAGTTATAAAACAAAGCAGTAAAAAGTAACAAGGCTAGGAAGGTGGCCTGGAAACAACTGAGGCACGGGGAGATGAGAAGGTCATTAACAAAGACAAAGCAACATAAGCCAATACTCTGAAACAAGTCGAACAGTGTCATTCTGCAGACTGGCGTCCAATGATGGCAATGTAAATTGCGACCAAGAGGCTACCAGCATAGCGTAGTGGGACATCTGAAACACTTGGAAGGAAGAACATCAGCTCAATAACTTTTGAAGTTCTGGTCTGGCTTTATCAAACACTCTCAAAAAGCTGGGGTGATAATAAATCCAGATGAACTCTGCACTAAGCAGGACATGCTTATTTCATTTTGGAATGAAAGCATCCAACATGCACAATGGTGATAAGTAATTCCATTTACTAAATATCTTATCCACTGTAAGAAACAGAGATGCAAGGGACTTGGGATAAAGCAATACACAAAGGGAAAAGAAACAACATCATTTTCTCATGTGACTCAAGGCAGAAAGGCAACTTTTAACTTAATAAGCCATTCATTAGGCAATATGTATCAACACTCTCATGAAGAAGGGTATATCAGCACAATGTTAGCAGTGCAAAGATTTTGACATTATGATATTTTGTACATCTAATTTAAAGGAGTCTCATTTGATGTACCACTCTTATGCTCCACTAATATACCTTTATTCTTCTTGGAACCAACAGGAAATGATGCAGTTGTAAGTTGCTCGGTGGTAACTGTGATGGTATTTTCTATCCCAGGGATAGTTGAATCCAATGAACCAGAATCAGTCAGCACCTTATCACGTTTACGCTGTTGTCGTTTCTCTCTGTGACTAATTTTAGTTTCCCAGGCTCCTGACAGCCCCAGAAAAAAAATGTTATTCAGTAAGGGGAAAACCAAAAAGTTGTAGTTCTGAGGAAAAATGGGGTGGAGCATACAAGATATCATCATAAATTTAGATATTAGGCTAAAAACCAAGAGTGTTGATTAAATTAATTTATCCTGGTAATTTATTCTAATCTCATCATGTTGAGTTAGGCAACAAACTACTGTTATTTATTCTAGTAAATTTAAAAAATCAAATCTGTTTTCTATGGTTTGGAAAAAGTGTTGGAAATAAATGATACATCTTTTTATCTGGCTGGATAAAAGTGAAAAAAAACCCCATGTATAATCACTAATAAATGGGCTTAACAGGTTATAATAAATGGGTTGTTCAAGAAGTGCACACAGCCTTCCAGGGATGGTATATATAAGAACAATGAGGAAAACCCACACCAAACAGACAAGATGAATGGCTTTTCAGCTGCTCAAAATACTGAGGTAGACCTAAAATTTCAAGGTAGTTCCCTTCAGGAAAATCACTACTGGGGTCTTAATCTTGAAAACAAAAGTGTTTCCTAACAATGTTTCAGATCTATATTTAAAATGTGCAGTAATTAAAAAAGATCTAGACACAGGATTAAGTGAAATGAATGCAGCTTTTATATAATACACCTTGGTAAAAAAAAAAAAAAAGGATTTAAAAATTTTCTAGAGTCTTTTCCCTTGCTCAAATACCTTCATCAACTTCCTTTCCATCATGGCGTGAACTGTTTTGCACTGCTTTAGCATCTGACTTTGATTTCTTCTTATTTTTCTTTGACTGAAAGTAAAATAGAATGTTACTTATTACTTTGTTATGTTTTTGAAAAGGTAGTAGTCAGTAAAATAGTGAAATGTATGATGCTGACAACTAAATAAATTTATTAGTTTGATTTTAAAAACTTAAGATAGTAAGTGGCAATAATATAAAACTACTATTTATCTTGAGTGATTACTATGTGCTAAGTACTTTATGCTCATTTTCTTATTTATTTCTCAAAAAAACTCACTGGAGAAGGTATTACCCCATTTTAGAAATGAGAAAATGGAGACGCAGAGAAATACTAAATAGCCTGTATTAGGTCACATTAAATTAGTTAATTAAGCTGTAATTGAAAGGTAGGTCTGTCTGGCTCCAAAGCCTGTGCTCTTAGATATCATGTACAAACAGTACAAAGAAAGTGCTGTAAAACAAGGTGTTTTCCGAGCAATAAAATTAAAACCCATAGCCAGTGTTTGGAAGGAAAACGATGTACTGACTTGGTTTTTAGACTGCATAAAAGCACATTGTTGATAAACTCTATGTATAACAAATTAATGAATCAATTTTATAAAGCTAGTAATATTTTGTCAGTCTCACAGCAATGTAAAAGTAACTAAGATTTGTATCCGCAGGTTTAACAATTCAATAAAGATAAAATAGCTACACAATACAAGATAAGGACATTTTAGAATGGTCTTCCAACTCTTTTTTGCTTAATACTGTTTCCTTCCAAAAGCTTGCCAAATATTCTATAAAGCTATGCTTTCTATATTTAGGTTAAGTGTTTTTAGGAGAATTAATGTTCATAAAAAGTTCTTATCTATACTTTGTATTTGTATTTACTCAACTGTTTGAGACTATGTACATATTATTGTGTACTATATTAAAATAAGTGTATAGTTAAATAAGAGACTGTAATCTTAATTATAAGCCTTTTAGATGAGTAAGCAGCAAAGACAGTTTGAGTAAGCAATAAATGACAGCTAAGTGCTCTTCCTATCAATAAACAAATTGCAAATACTGTCAGCTCTCCGTATTTGTGGGTTTCACATCATTTGACTTAGACCAACCTCAGATCTAACTATTCGAGGCAAAAACTGCATCTACACTTAACATGTACGGGCTTTAATATTACTATTCCTGAAATAACAGAGTCTACCTGCAAATTCTGGTATCCTGAAATCAACACCTCACAAAACACAAAAGACAACCCAACCATATTCTCAAGTGACATGAAATCTTAACAGTGATTAAAAATTGTCTTTGACAAGGGACTACATATATATGAATATATATATCTGTTTAAAAGTAGTTTATTATCCTCATAACTGATTTGCATTTCATTCTTTGCATGTTATTATCATTATACCTCTCCTGTTTAACATGGTGCTTTATTATTTCTACCACAACAGGGACATATCTATTTTTTACAAGTTGAGGTCATCCACATATCCTTTCAGTTTTTTTATTTTTATTTTTTGGTACAGAGATTGAACTCAGGCCCTTGTGCTTGCAAGGCAGGCAGCAGAACCACTGAGCTAAATCCCCGGCCCAACATACCCTTTTAAAGTGTGTGGGGTGGGTGGAGATAAAATAAAATTTATTAAAAAAATAAAAGTGTGTTGGGCCCAGGATTTAGCTCAGTGGTTCTGCTGCCTGCCTGGAAAGTGCAAGGTCCTGAGTTCAATCCCCAGTACCAAAAATAAATAAATAAACAAACAAACAAATAAATAAAGTGTGCAATTCGGTTGCTTTAGTTTGTTCCAAGTAGCGCAACTATCACCATTTCCTTTAGTCCCTCCCCCAAAGAAATCCTGTAACCACCAGCAGTCACTTCCACTCCCCTCTTCTCCCGGCAGCCACTAATCTACCTCCTATGTCTCTGCCTTAATCACACTTAAATAAAGGCAGCACCTTGAGTATCTGTCAATTACAGTCTAGGGCAGTGTAGCAAACTTATTCTGGAAAGAACTAAATAGTCAATATTTTAGGCTTTAAAGTCCACGTGAGTTTGTAGCAACCACACAACTCTGTAACATGAAGGCAAGCACATACAATATATAAATGAATAAAGCTGTAGGTGCAATAAAACTATTTATTAAAAAAGGCATCTAGTGCTGAGGATGTAGCTCAATGGTAGAACACTTGGCTCATATGTCAAGAGTCCTGGATTTAATCTCCAGTACCGGAAAAAACAAAACAAAACGATACAAACAATAACAGGCACCTGGCTGGATTTGGGGAGCCAGAGTGCCCAAACTACAACCCAAAACCCACATATTTATCACAAAGTGCCAACACTGCAATTAAACTTGATGCCAACGGAGAGAGCTCTGTGTGCCTGCTGCGGTACACATGCCACAGGTTCGCCATCACTGGACTAGACTATTCCAAATCTAGAGTAGAGCTGTCCAAAAGAAATACAATGCAAGCCACACACATATAATTTAACTACATATATATATTCTTTGGTGGGGGGTACCAGGGATTGAACTCAGGAGCTCACATTTGCCAGGCAAGTGCTGTGCCACTGAGCTAAATCCCCTGCCCCTTAACATTATATTTTAAAAGTTAAACTAGATGACATTGATCGCAACAATACTTTTAACACAATATATTTAAAATACTATCATCTCAACATGTAACCAATACAAGACTATTTATTAATAATTAATGATAGTATGGAGAAGGTAAACTAAATCTTTGAAATTTGTTTATTTTATACTTAAGAGTAATCTCAATTCATAATAGCCAATTTTTTAAAAATTAAAATTTTTTTACTTTTATTAGTACATGTCTGCAGTACATAATGATTACATTTGCTGTAGGGATTTGGTACATGTATATAACACATTTACACAAGTCAATTTTAAAGCGCTTCATATCCATGTGGCAAGTGGCTGCCATTTTGGACAGTACAGGCCTGCAGAACTATAGTGAGCGCCCCCATTTTACAGATAAGGAAGCAGGCCATAAAGAGATTGTACAAAATGTCTGATGGTGACACTAGTACCAAAGGCCAATCCTGTTTCAGGGCCTACCCTCTCAAATACTCTGTCTCCCTATGTAACTCCAAATACAGCACAAATGTCAGGGTGTATTAGCTATGTGGCTTTGGGTTAAGTTACACCTTTCACCGAACTCACAGGGACACAAATTCCTACTAACCTCACGTGTGGTTCCTTTTAGGGATTAAAAAAATACATATATGAAAAGAGTTTTAAGTAAGATTTTTTTACTTTTTACCATTTCAAATATTTCCTTTATTTTCTTCCCTTTCCCTCAAACATCATTTTTTCCCAGTTTTTTTATTAGTTTATGTTTACAGTACCTATTCATTTACATTCCTTGTGTGGAGCTGGTACATGAACATAACACAACCCAATTCCTTTTTCTACCCCCTTTTCCTATGCTTCCTCCCATCTCTTCTTCTGTTCCCCACTTGAGAAAGACCTCCCTACTTCCCATTATCTTTTTTTGGTACCAGAGATCGAACTCAGGTCCTTGTGCTTGCATGGCAGGAGGCGGAACCACTGAGCTAAATCCCCAGCCTTTTCCTATTATCTTTTTTGCTCTTTTTCAAGTCTTTTTTTTGGGGGGGGGGTCGGGGATCGAACCTGGATCCTTGCACTTGCGCAGCAGGTGGCAAAACCACTGAGCTAAATTCCTGGCCCCACAAGTCTTTTTTTTTGAGACAGGGTCTCGCTATGTAGTCCAGCCTGGCCTCGAACTTGTGGCAACGATCCTGCCTCAAGCCTCCTGAGTGCTGGGATTACAGGCATGCGTCACCACGCCTAATCTATTTTGCTTTTTATTAATAATGTAAGTGTGTATTTGTTTAACATTCATTTGAGACAGGGTCTTGCTATGTGTTCAGGTTGGCCTTAAACTCCCGGTGATCCTTCTGCCTCAGCCTCCCAAACCCTGAGATTATAGGGATGCACCACCCTGCCTGGCTACATAAGATGTTTTAAAGGGAGGAAACTATGAATAAAAGACAAATCACATTCACACTCAAATATACTCAGATTTGTTACTAGAAAATGAAGATTATCTTGGATTAGGGTTAAATATTATTTAAAATTACTATTACCTTTAAAAGTAACTACCAAAAAACAACTCACCCAGGTGAGGCTTAGTAAAATAGTATGACACAGCTATTTGCCCCAGCCATCCTACTGAAGTGAGTATCTTGCTTCAAAGCAACTCCACTTTAGCTAAGACATCTAAAAGAAACCTTTAGCACAAAATTCTGGTTTCTTATTAACAGTATTTATTTTTCCCCCATTTGTTGTCAGCCTCTGACACGGAGGTGGGTGGATTATTAATCTAGTCATCTCCAAAGAACTCAACAGCAAAAACCCAATCTGATTAAAATATGAGCAAATGAAAAAAATGAGCAAATGATCTGAATACATATTTCTCAAAAGAAGATAAAAAATGGCCAACAAGTATATGAAGAAATGTTCAACATCACTAATCAGCAGGGAAATGAAATCAAAACCACAATAAGGTTTCACTCCACTCAGAATGGCTACTGTCAAAGATAAAAAAGAGGAAATGTTGAGAAGCTGCAGAAAAAGGGGAAATCTCAAATACTGTTGGTGGGAATGTAAATTAGTATACGTACTATGAAAAACAGTATGGAGGGTCTTAAAAAAACTCAAGAGGCCTACCATATGATCTAGTAATCCTACTATATACCCAAAGTAGATGAAATATTTATGTCAAAGAGATACCTGCCTGTCCATGTTGGGTTTTTTTTGTACTGGGGATCGAACTCGGGACCTTGGGCTTGGCAAGGCAGGCACCAGAACCACTAAGCTAAATCCCCAGCCACCTGTCTATGTTTATTGCAGCAGTATTCACAATATGGAATCAACTCAGACATCCAGTGTTAAATGAGTGAAAAGAAATCTGTATATATACACACAGTGGAATATTATTCAGCCACACAAAAGGATAAACCCCAGCAATTTATGGCAACAGGATAGAACCATCAGGCAATAGGTTAAGTG